CATCGAGTCAAGGTAGGGAAACAATTAACAGTAGGGATCAGATAAATAATTCTGAGGACCTTGTACTTGTCGAGAACCTTGAATCTGATAATTTTTTTTTAACAAAAAGCCATTTAGAGAAGCTTTGGCATCTAGACAATTTCATTAGCTAGATGTGATGAGACTTTCAAACGTTTTGTATGAAGAGCATCAGATCACTCCTACCCCATCCGTAAGTGAGCACACTCGTGATTACCTTCTACCTCGCTGGTCAAAGAGATGTCTTGGAAAAAAGCCCCATAACCTCCATACACGATTTATCTAGATGTATCTGTCTTGCAAAATGAAACATATCCCCCTTGCTTCTGTTGCTGACAAAACAGACACCTCTGTCTTCACTGTAGTTCACCTGTTCTTTTGGCATAGACAAAGTTTCCATGCATTTTTTATAAATCTACTTCTAGCATCACATCGAATGTTTAAATCTCAAAATCAGAGCATTATCAATAACTCCCCTTCCAACATCTCCTTCCTAGATTAGATTAGGTTTGATAGGAAACATAACAACTGATCAGAGCCTAGGTATAATGGGAATCATATGTAGTTCACCTGTTCTTTTGGCATAGACGAGGTTTCCATGCATTTTTAATAAATCTACTTCTAGCATTACATCGAAAGCTTAACTCTCAAAATCAGAGCAATTTCAATTACTCCACTTTCAGCATCTCCTTCCTTGACTAGGTTTGATAGGAAACATAGCGCCTGATCAGAATTATAGACCAGCATGTTCTATATTCATCAAGATCAATAAAATTCAGATTTGACTGGGGACCTTGTACTTCTAATCAAATCATTTGCATACCTTACACTAAATTGAGAGCTAAAAGTTCCAGCAGCAAAACACCATACCCACAAAATTTCTTACCATGAAAAAAACAATTCTTCGATCTGATATACGTTGTATTGTTCAACAAAAGCAATTTAGAGAAGCTTTGGCATCTGCACAATTACAATGGCTAGACATAAGTTTTTCAAATGTTTTCATGAAAGAGTATTAGGTTATTACTGATTTTTTATTAGCTTCTACCCTGACAAAAAAGCCTTCTCTAAGTCTTTGCTGGCAAAAAAGCCTTCTCTAAGTCTTTGCTGTAGTTAACAGTAAATTGGGCATAGAATTTGAAACGGTTTCCGTGCATTCCCAATACATCTACTTAACTCCACTTCCACATTGACTATTACAATCTTGCAACTGGAGTCAAATCTATGATCTGCACCACTTCTCAAAATCATAGAAACTGATCAGGTTAAAATAATTTTTGGGTTTATGAAAGTCGCGGTATTATAGTATATAAGAGGTGGTCAAGTAGAAGCTAACACAACAAGATTCTTACATAGTTCTTGTCAAATCCATTTCAACTAACAACATAATCACAGAGTAGCACTCAATGAGCAATGGATACCAAACCAAGTCATTCAATCAATCACCCAAATCCACAAATTGTTGACCTGACTGACATCAAGTCCAATAAGGTCCAGCTTGCTCAGCCAGATAAATCCAAAATACTGCAAGCAAAGTCAAACAAATGATCTATTACTCATCAGAACCCTAAACATGAACTACGAAATCCGGCCAAGATGAAAATAACCATAGATATTCATATATGATATGGTCCTGCTGAAATTCATTATATCATACTCCCTCAGTACTAGAATAAGGTCCGGATGCAGCTGTTTCCTATGTACAACAACAACAACCCAGTTAAATCCCACAAGAGTAGGGTCTGGGGAGGGTGTGTGTACGCAGACCTTGCCCCTACTCGAAAGTAGAGAGGCTGTTTCCAAAGAGAACCCCGGCTCAACGTCTAAAGTTGCATTGCTTGACTAAGAGCTACTTCATTAATTAAAGAAACGCAGACAGTTTAGAGATCCATTTTGATTTATTCCATCACAACCCAAAGCCAAAAAATGGTGAAATTTTGGCTCCATCGGAGATGATGGAAAAAGCTGTTTCCTATGTAAAAAATAAAAAATCAGTATGAACTTCAAAAAAAATTTATATATTCAAAAATTTGTCAATAGTCTTCTACAAAAGTAAAGAAAAGAGAAAGAAGAGGTGACTAAACTTTATATAATATTTTATGTTATTTTGACACATGGCCAATGAAAACATTTAAGGAAAGAAGATTCGATTTAGACATGTTAATAATGACGTAGAGCACGCAAAAAATATATAACGAATAACAAAATTCTTCTTCTTATTTTATCAACAAATTAATTGGTACCAGTTTTCAGAACTGGAAGATTCTCAATAGGATCATAAATCTGTTGAAATAAAAAACCTTGCAGTAAAGACTCAGCTGCAACAATTACAATAGTTAGAAGTGGTGGGATTTTCAAACATACTGCAGGGAGTGCATTAGATAACTACTAATTCCGTTCGTATGGAGGGACCATTAGTTCATGACTATCTTCTACCTCGCTGGTCAAAGAGGGTGTCTTGGAAAGAGAGCTCCATTACCTCCATAGCATTAGATAATACTATTTCGGACGTAGGGACACTAGTACATGACTACCTTCTACCTCGCTGGTCAAAGAGGGTGTCTTGGAAAAAGAGCTCCATAACCTCCATATGCATGTTGATCTGCATGTTACTTTCTCAGCACTGAAGCTAGTCCCCCTATCTTCTATTGTTGACAAAAAGACAGCCTGTGTTTTCGTTGTAGTTCACATGTTCTTTGGGCAAAAACTTGACAAATTTTCTGTGTTGGTCTACTTCCAGCATCACATCTAATGTTTGTGACTCAATCAGAGCATTTCCAATACCTACACTTCCGGCATCTCCTTCCTTGACTATTGAAACCTCAAAATCAAAATCAAATCTTCGATCTGCATGCACCGCCTCTATTAGTCATCTGGAATCAAAATAAGCCATCTGATTTGACCATTCGATTCACAAAATTGTTGACATGTCTGATATCAAGTCGGACCAACTTGCACAGCCTGATGAATACAAAATAAAATCAAACAAATGATCATTTTTGCATCTATTACTCATCAGAACCTAATCATATATTACCCAAGAATCTGATCGAGAAAATATGTTCTAAACTAATAACATACTCTATAACCTATTTTATCTTGATTTTAAATCGTTATGTTATTTATAGATTATGAGGATCGGACAAGATGAATTTGTAAAGATGAAACTATCCATTATATCATCCTCCCTCCGTACAGAATAAAGTCAAGAATTGGCTGTTGCCGATGCACCAATTGGAACTTTAATCTGTTGAAATAAAAAACATTGCAGTAAGACGCAGCTGCAACAAAAAACCAAGGCAGAAAAATAGATGATTCTGTTCTATGTTCATCAGCAAGAGATATTGAATCCAGATGAGACAGAAGACCTTGTTTTACCATTCCAACAAAATGTCGTTTAACAAAAGTCATTTAGAGAACCTTTAGCATCTGGGCAATTACAACAGCTAGAGGTGGCGGCATTTTCAAACATTTTGCAGGAAGTGCATTAGATAACTACTACTCCGTTCGTACGAAGGGACTACTAGTTAATGATTACCTTCTACCTCGCTGGTCAAAGAGGGTGCCTCAAAAAGAGAGCTCCATAACCTCCATATGCATGTTGATCCGCATGTTAGTTTCTCAACACTGAAGCTAGTCCCCCTTGCTTCTATTATTGACAAAAAAGACGGTCTATGTTTTCGTTGTGGTTCAACTGTTCTCTGGGCATAAAACTTGACAAATTTTCTGTGTTTTCAATAAATCTACTTCCAGCATCACATGTAATGTTTGTGACTCAATCAGAACATTTCCAATACCTACACACTTCCAGCATCTCCTTCCTTGACTATTGAAATCTCACAATCAAAGTCAAATCTATGATCTACATGCACCCCTTCTATAAGTCATCAGATCCTAGGTTTGATAGGAAACTTAGCAACAGATCATGTTAAATAACTTTATCAGGATTATTACGGTCGTGGTATTTTTACGGGGTGCCAAGTAGACATAATCTTCGCACAGAACTTCCTGATATATTAGCAATGGAAACCTTGAAATCAAAACAAGCCGAATGACTAACATGAAGCCGGACCACCCAAATTCACAAAATTGTTGACATGACTGACATGAAGTCGGACGAACTTGCACAGCCAAATCAATCCAAAATATTGCAAGCAAAATCAAACAAATGATCAGTTCAACATCTATTACTCATCAGAACCTAATCATATATGACCCAAGAATCTGGTCGAGAAATATAAAAATTGACCAATGAAATCTTTGAAGGTAAGACTCACGATTTGAACATGTGAATGATGTTAAGGACTCACCTTCACCAAAATACGAAGGCAGAAAAATATATCTACCTGATCAATATTCGTCAGCAAGAAATATAAAATCCAGATAGACCTTGTACCTTCAAGTAGAAGCTAACAAAACAAGATTCTTACATAGTTCTTGTCAAATCCATTTCAACTAACAACATAATCACAGAGTAGCACTCAATGAGCAATGGATACCAAACCAAGTCATTCAATCAATCACCCAAATCCACAAATTGTTGACCTGACTGACATCAAGTCCAATAAGGTCCAGCTTGCTCAGCCAGATAAATCCAAAATACTGCAAGCAAAGTCAAACAAATGATCTATTACTCATCAGAACCCTAAACATGAACTAAGAAATCCGGCCAAGATGAAACTAACCATAGATATTCATATATGATATGGTCCTGCTGAAATTCATTATATCATACTCCCTCAGTACTAGAATAAGGTCCGGATGCAGCTGTTTCCTATGTAAAAAATAAAAAATCAGTATGAACTTCAAAAAAATTTATATATTCAAAAATTTGTCAATAGTCTTCTACAAAAGTAAAGAAAAGAGAAAGAAGAGGTGACTAAACTTTATATAATATTTTATGTTATTTTGACACATGGCCAATGAAAACATTTAAGGAAAGAAGATTCGATAAAGACATGTTAATAATGACGTAGAGCACACAAAAAATATATAACGAATAACAAATTTCTTCTTCTTATTTTATCAACAAATTAATTGGTACCAGTTTTCAGAACTGGAAGATTCTCAATAGGATCATAAATCTGTTGAAATAAAAAACCTTGCAGTAAAGACTCAGCTGCAACAAGTACAATAGTTAGAAGTGGTGGGATTTTCAAACATACTGCAGGGAGTGCATTAGATAACTACTAATTCCGTTCGTATGGAGGGACCATTAGTTCATGACTATCTTCTAAATCGCTGCTCAAAGAGGGTGTCTTGGAAAGAGAGCTCCATTACCTCCATAGCATTAGATAATACTCTTTCGGACGTAGGGACACTAGTACATGACTACCTTCTACCTCGCTGGTCAAAGAGGGTGTCTTGGAAAAAGAGCTCCATAACCTCCATATGCATGTTGATCTGCATGTTACTTTCTCAGCACTTAAGCTAGTCCCGCTAGCTTCTATTGTTGACAAAAAGACAGCCTGTGTTTTCGTTGTAGTTTACATGTTCTTTGGGCAAAAACTTGACAAATTTTCTGTGTTGATCTACTTCCAGCATCACATCTAATGTTTGTGACTCAATCAGAGCATTTCCAATACCTACACTTCCGGCATCTCCTTCCTTGACTATTGAAACCTCAAAATCGAAATCAAATCTTCGATCTGCATGCACCGCCTCTATAAGTCATCTGGAATCAAAACAAGCCATCTGATTTGACCATTCGATTCACAAAATTGTCGACATGTCTGATATCAAGTCGGACCAACTTGCACAGCCTGATGAATACAAAATATTGCAAGCAAAATCAAACAAATGATCATTTTCGCATCTATTACTCATCAGAACCTAATCATATATTACCCAAGAATCTGATCGAGAAAACATGTTCTAAACTAATAACATACTCTATAACCTATTTTATCTTGATTTTAAATCGTTATGTTATTTATAGATTATGAGGGTCGGACAAGATGAAATTGTAAAGATGAAACTATCCATTATATCATACTCCCTCCGTACAGAATAAAGTCAAGATTTGGCTGTTGCCGATGATTATGAGGGTCGGACAAGATGAAATTGTAAAGATGAAACTATCCATTATATCATACTCCCTCCGTACAGAATAAAGTCAAGATTTGGCTGTTGCCGATGCACCAATTGGAACTTTAATCTGTTGAAATAAAAAACATTGCAGTAAGACGCAGCTGCAACAAAAAACCAAGGCAGAAAAATAGATGATTCTGTTCTATGTTAATCAGCAAGAGATATTAAATCCAGATGAGACAGAGGACCTTGTTTTACCATTCCAACAAAATGTCGTTTAACAAAAGCCATTTAGAGAACCTTTAGCATCTGGGCAATTACAATAGCTAGAGGTGGCGGCATTTTCAAACATTTTGCAGGAAGTGCATTAGATAACTACTACTCCGTTCGTACGAAGGGACTACTAGTTAATGATTACCAAGAGGGTGTCTCAAAAAGAGAGCTCCATAACCTCCATATGCATGTTGATCCGCATGTTAGTTTCTCAACACTGAAGCTAGTCCCCCTTGCTTCTATTATTGACAAAAAAGACGGTCTATGTTTTCGTTGTGGTTCACCTGTTCTCTGGGCATAAAACTTGACAAATTTTCTGTGTTTTCAATAAATCTACTTCCAGCATCACATGTAATGTTTGTGACTCAATCAGAACATTTCCAATACCTACACACTTCCAGCATCTCCTTCCTTGACTATTGAAATCTCACAATCAAAGTCAAATCTATGATCTGCATGCACCACTTCTATAAGTCATCAGATCCTAGGTTTGATAGGAAACTTAGCAACAGATCATGTTAAATAACTTTATCAGGATTATTACGGTCGTGGTATTTTTACGGGGTGCCAAGTAGACATTATCTCCGCACAGAACTTCCTGATATATTAGCAATGGAAACCTTGAAATCAAAACAACCCGAATGACTGACATGAAGCCGGACCACCCAAATTCACAAAATTGTTGACATGACTGACATGAAGTCGGACGAACTTGCACAGCCAAATCAATCCAAAATATTGCAAGCAAAATCAAACAAATGATCAGTTCAACATCTATTACTCATCAGAACCTAATCATATATGACCCAAGAATCTGGTCGAGAAAACATGTTCTATACTGATTCCATAGATGTTCATATGTGATATGACTGTCTCCGATGTAAAGATGAAACTATCCATTACATGCTTCCTCCGTACAGAATAAGGTCCAGAACTAGCTTTTTCTGACGTAAAAAAATTTAAAAACCGAAATAAAATTTAAAAATAAAAATTTCATATTAGTATTTATAAACTAAATGAATAGTTTTCTACAAAAGGAGAAAAGGAAGGTAACTAGACTATTATTTTATTTTAAAAATTGACCAATGAAATCTTTGAAGGTAAGACTCACGATTTGAACATGTGAATAATGTTAAGGACTCACCTTCACCAATATACGAAGGCAGAAAAATATATCTACCTGATCAATATTCGTCAGCAAGAAATATAAAATCCAGATAGACCTTGTACTTGTCGAGAACCTTGGACTGGACATCGAATCACGTGTGTAAGCCTAAATCTACAAATAGAGAGCTACAAGTTCCCGCAACCAAACAACACATCCACACAATCTTACCAGGGAAAAAATCTTGGTTCCAGTATTTTGTTTAACAAAAGCCATCGAGAGAAGCTTTGGCGTCTAGACAATTACAGTAGCTAGATGTGGTGAGATTTTCAAATGTTTTGAGTGAAGAAAATTAGACTACTATTCTTTTTGTACGGACTACGGAGTGAGAACACTAACTCGATATTACCTTCTACCCTGTGGGTCAGACGGGATATCTTGGAAAGAGAGCTCCATAACCTCCGTATGCATGTTGATATGTGCCACTTCTACAAGTCAATAAGGCGGGGGCTTGATTAGAAAATTAGCATCTGATCAGGACTACAAAATTCTATCACAATTCCAATGGTCATGGTATTTATAGATTATGAGAGGTGGTCAAGAAGAAGCGAACACATCTGGTATTGTGCATAGTTTATGTCGAATCCATTTCTACTATCACCATAATCAGTGCAAAACTTCCTGAATTATTAGCAATGGGCGTCTTGACATCAAACCAAGCCATCTTATATTACCACCCTAATTCACAAAATTCTTTCCATGAATGACATCAAGTCCAATAACAGGATAAAAACACATCAACCTGCTCACCCAGATGAATCCAAAGTATTGCAAGCAAAGCCAAACTGTCAAACCAATGATCTGTCCCACATCTATTACTCATCAGAACCTAGGCATATATGGTCCAAGATAATGATCAAGATAACATAATCTATGACATATTATACTTCCTCCATGCAAGAACAATGTCTAGATTTGGCTATTTCCTGTGTAAAAAACTAAAAAAACTAGAATCTATGTCAATAATGTCCAAAACAAAGAAACTACATCAATAATTCTCTACAGAAGTAAAGAAAAGAATTAGAAGAAAACGCAATTGACACAAGCAACAAATAATGAACAGGGACTGATTTAAACAAGTGAAGAGTGGTGATTTCAACTATTTGGAATGAAAAGCCTAGAGCCAAATCATCCGTCTGGAATCTGAACTGCACCAACAAGTCAAGCCAAAAATACAATTTTAGGAAACAACCATCTTAAATGCCACCTGAGATGGTTGAACACATCTTAACCACTAAAAAACAAAACAATTGCAGTTGCAGCTGGGATTGCGTTGTCCAAACTAGATCAAAACACAAATAATCAATCAATTGATAAGATGAACACGTTTTTTAAAAGAAAAGGGTATTTGTTTAACAACCCAATATCCCTTACACAATTGCAGATATAAATACTAGTTCATAATCAATTTAATATAGATACTGATGTTTACATGGTGAGACTCGTTAAAAATACACATAACTATCCAAAAAGTATAACCATCCAGTAAAAAAATATTAGCAGCACTTACCTTAAAATATCAAATTAAATAGTGCCCTTCAGATTATAAAAAATACTCGGAGTTTGGAAGATCTACATCGTTAGAACGATGAATGTCCATGCTTCACTGTAAATAACTAAGGAACTCATACCTAATTGTTGCAGGTGAGCGTGTATCATTCGACCAACAGCAGGGTAGAGATCTTCAACAGCGGACAAAGATAAATACACAATTTCCAAATGAACAAACCGAGCATAGATGTGATGAACCAGAGAAATAAAAACGAAGGGGGAACTCCAATCCACTATCTGATCATCTAGATAGGATCTGAACACAAATAATTGACGAAAATAGAATCATCGATATGAAATAATAGCGACATCATGGAATCATCGAGTCAAGGCAGGGAAACAATTAACAGTAGGGATCAGATAAAGGCAAGACATCAATCAAATCAATTGCCAGGGAATAGAAACAGAATTCAAACCAGAATATCGTGAAAACAACGAGCGCGTCAAACACTTCCATCTAAGATCTGCCCTACCTAGTCGTATCTTTAGGAGTCTATAATTCTCAATAAAATTAAATTTTCCGAAGCCGATCGATTGCGATAAAGGTCACATCTTCAAGAAAATCAATCGCGGAGAACAGACGCAGTAATCAATATATGATAGCGCCAACGGTTTCCATATATGATCTGAGAAACACCGTCAATCAAAGACAGGAAAACAATCATCGATCGTGATAAACGCAAAAACCCCAATAAAATCCTGCTGGCCAAAGAGGACCGCAGAAGAGAAGAAAGCGTGGTGCCAGGAAAGTTGGGGGAAGAGTTGGTATTTATAAGAGCTGAGAGGCGGTGTGGAATCCACCCGTTTTTGGGAAAGTCGGTTTGGAATGTCCCGTTAAAGTTTGTAAACTTTCAAATATTTATTCTAAAAAAATTCAATGCACTCCCTGTAAATTTATCGAAAAATTATTTTAAACAATTTCACATTTTCATCTTTCTAGAAAAAAATTCTACCTTTTACAGTCACCGGAAATAATCTCACTTTTTCGTATGTATGCGAGTTTTGAGTCGCCGTTAAAAAGTTAACAGTCACTTAACAGAATTTTGAAAATATGTATTTATATTTTTCACGAATAAATGAAAGGTAGAATTGTTTTAGAGAAATTTACTTTTTTCTTTTTTTAATTTTTAAGTTCAAATTTATGTTTTTAAAGTCCGGTAGGCTTCCCATGACATTAGAACCACATGTCATGGGATGACCCGGGGGCGACCCAATACCTTGTTCGTAAAGTTGATGATCCCTACCCCCTAACACCACGGTAAATCCCACCCCTCCACCCCAACCCGAACACACTTCTCACCCCGCCCCGACCCGAACGCACCCCTCTCACCCCCTTCAATTTCACCCTACAAGTTAATTTTGACTTTGGAGTCAAATTTTGACTCTAAAGTCGAAATTAACTTGTCGAATGCAACTGAAGGGGGTGGGGGTGTTCGGGTCAGGGTGGGAGATTTAACGGGAGATTAGGAGGGTATGAACCGTTAATTTTAGAGCGGGACACTGGGCCGTCCCCGAGTCATTTAATGACATTGTCGGGCAATGCCATGAGAACCGCCCCTTTTAAAGTTATTTTTTTTAAAAGTGCCCCTTTTAAAGTTATAGTTGTATAGTTGTACAGTCTTGTTAGAAATTTGTCCCAAATTTTTCTAAAAAAATAATGATTTACAAATTTTGTATTCTATTTTAGGGAAAATATAATACTTCATTCATCCTAAAACGTTATTTCTAGTTACTATTTATATGGTCAAACTTTAAGCACTTCCTTTACCTATTTTCGTTAGTTTTTTGATAAAATAATATAGTCTTGTCATCTCTTGTTTTGTAGAACTTTTGATGTCATTTTTAAATACCGAGTATATAAATTTTATTTTTAAATTTTATACATACAATCAAATAAATTAAATTAAAAATAAAGTCGATCAACCTCGTAAATAGAAATGGAAAGAACGTTTTATAACACACAGGGTATTGGATTGTCAAAAAATAATTTAAAGTATTGCTAGACAAAGAAATTGCAATACAAAAAGGTTGTAGTATATTATATAAATTATTAGTGCCATTTTGGAGAAAAAATATTTTGTTATATCTGAAATAACTTACGTCTTAAGCATTGTTTATTCACTTGTATCCAAAAAATATTTTTGTTATATATTCAACAACAACAACAACCCAGTAGAATCGATCCAACAAAAGCAGGGTCTGGAGTGAGTGTGTGTACGCAGGACGGCCTTACCCCTACTAAGGGCCGGTTCTTTTGGACTTGAACTCTTAACTTCCTGTTTTTTCCAGTTCCTTCCAGTTCTTTCCAGTTTCTTCCAGTTTCTTCCAGTTCCTTCCAGTTTCTTCTAGTTCTTCCAGTTTTTTCCAATTTCTTCCAGTTGCTTCCAGTTTCTTCCAATTTCTTCCAGTTTTTCTTGTTTTTTCTTGTTTCTTCTAATTTCTTCCAACTATATTTATTTTCTTCAAATTCTTTCTACTTTCTGACAAATAACTCTAAAAAAATATATTATTATCATTCTTACAGTTTTTTAATTACAACTTTTATGTTGATAACTATAGTTTATAAATTATTTCATTTTGTCATCTCACTATTTTTATGATTTATATTCATTATTTTTTTCTTCAACTTTTTAATATGAATAGTACCATTTTTTTGTATATTAATCTACAAGAAAAAATAGGAAACTATTTAAAAAATTATGGTTAAATAGTTATATACACCCTCCGTCCCTAAATATTCACAACATTTGCTTTTTCAACAGTTGCCGGAACTTTTGTTTATTTCGCTGTTTTCATTGATTATTTGATAAAATAAAATATTGTTGACACCTCTTATTTCGAAGAACTTTTCATGTAGTTTTTTAATATGTAAATTTTATTTTTTATTTCTATACCAATATGTAAATAAAATGAATTAAAAAAATTTAATATTTTACCTCGGAAATACAAATGTGGCAAATAATTTGGGACGGAGGGAGTAGAATATTTTTTAATCTAAATTTATATAAGGTAAACATCAATATTTTAATATAAAATATAGTATCTTCAATTAAGTTTAACTACATTGTAGAATATTAAGTGCTAGTTCATCTCTAATTATTTTTTTAAATTATCTTTTTATGTATGAAAATAATATTCATAATATTTTTTTATTTTAAAGACAATCATTTAGATAACGTAATAACACCACCACTATCACCACCACCACTAACAACAACAACAACAACAATAATAATAATAATAATAATAATAATAATTATAGCAATAATAATAATTTATATCAACAAAAATCAGAATGAGAATAATTTAAAACCACACA